GACAACTGTAGATACCATCACTGCCCAAGGCTTACAATCAGACCAGACCTGTAACATCTGCAGCAACAGTCAAATGAAATTGGTCACTTGTGACAACCAGATGACCAGTTATCAAAGGGATTATGGATAGCTCTTTGATACAATGGGCAAACCGTTTGGAAGCTTTGCAAGAAAGGTGTTCAGAATCCAATGACATTTGTCTCTTAGGAATCTAACCTTTGACCATGGACATCAGAGATGTTTTCCATCGAACGTATTGGTTTTGTAGCTGTATTACAGAAATGCAAGCAGATGTACAGGCCATATCTGAGTATGAATGGTAACAGAAAAGGAGACATATTTCAATATATTTCACCTTTTGGAAATAAAAACAGCAAAAAATATGCTTAAATGAACTAATTTGTGTAATAACTCCATCAGTGCATGCCACAGCAAATTTTTTCAATGGTAGTACCCACAACTGTATCTTGTCCACTAATTCCTTATTATAAGCCGTTTTATTGTGTAAAGTCAATTTGGATAATGATGCCATAAACACACAAACAGAAACTACTTGATTAAAAGCAAGGTATATTAAGAAAGATATAATACTATTGAGATTATTAAACGAGATGGAACTACCCAAGAAAAAATTAATCTCACAACGAGGTTAACATTTTCACCATTTCAGCATAAACGTTCCCATGCATTGACTTGGTAGTGTCTTGTCTTTTTTTTTTTTTTTCAATTTCTTTTTTCTTTTCTTTTCTTTTCTTTCTTTTTTTTTTCCATCTTTTTGAGACAGAGTCTCACTATGCAGTTCAGGCTGGCCTTGAGCTCAGTTTGTAGCCCAGGCTGGTCTCAAACTTGCTACCATCCTCCTGCTTCAGCCTCCCAAGTGCTGGGATTACAGGCATGAGCTACCATGCCTGGCTTCGGTAGTGTCTTTTCTAAATTGAACAGATGCTCCTAAAGATCAGCCAACTATATTACAGATGTGACACTAATTTATTCTTTTCTTTCTTTTTTTGAGTGCTGGGGGGTATAAAATGAAAGAGGCTATAGCAGAAGGGTGAGTTCTATCATTATTAGGGGCTGCACAGGGGTAATCTATCTGGAGTCTAGAAAATGCAAAGTAACCAAGATGATCAAAGTGGTCCTCCTGGCAAAAACAGCCTGGAATGAATGGGAGACAGAAATGACAATGAGGGTTTTGCAGAAGGTTTTCTTTTATTGAGGAAGACATCTAACATGGATATGGCTGAAATACTCATAAGCAATGTTTACCAATGCTAAGTGGCTATGTTTTTACAAAACAAATAAGAAAACAAACACTTGCAATTAGCTTTAAAAGAGTCTGCCAAAGAGAATACAAACGAGATTTGTATCATATCATAGTTTGGCAGGCAGAAACATAAACATGTTAAGAACCCAACGTCATATTTTCACCTCTATTCATTGTGCCTAAATCAAATGCTTTCATTTGGCAATATACTTCCCTTACTCAGCAAAATACAAGTTGAGTCCTAAACCATTTCCTGTGAGCCTAATTCCTTTCAATAAGGCATTAAATCATTTTACTGCAAACACCAAATGCCTTCTTACTGCAGGAAATATTATCATAGGCTTTTTTTTTCAATCTATGCTCCAGATTTTCAAGATTTTATTGCAAACAAAATGATCCTTTATGATGTAATATTCCACCTAGTTTATTGCTTTTCAGAATTTCAATTGTTAACTAAAGAATCTCTGCCCAGGTCTCCTACTTCATAAAAAAAGAATCTATTCCCCAACTGCCAAGAGAGATCAAATAAAAATTAGTCTATCACAGCAGCACTGATGGCCATGCCAGTCTCACAGTGTGACTGGTGCACTCATTTCATTTTGAAAATGACCCTGCCCTCCATCTGTCTGAGCTGAATGTCCTGCTTTTTTCAAGCCAGGCCACTGGAGCAACATGACATAAATAAGGAGGAAGACAAGATGGCTTCTCTCTGCCATGCTCAGAGATCGCGACACAACCCAGAAAAGAACAGATCCCCACAAGGATCAGAGTTTTTAGGGGGGAGCAAATAGTCCTTCTATTTTTCATACAATTTCAGGAAGTCACTTAAAGGTGAATATTTTTCAAGATGCAAAACTACTCTGCCAAACAGAGGAAAAGACTAAAGCTATGAAAGGCAATTTCTTGTTTCTGTGTTGTCACCTTCCTTCAGAAACAGCTCGAGATATGAGGATTTGAAAATACTGAGCCTTTTGGAATTTCCAAGGAGCATCTACCAGGTTGGCATAAAAAAGAAAATCCCTTACTCCATAATTATTGAGCAGCATTAGCCTTCATCTCGCTGTCCTTGTGTGTTTCTAATTTGAAAATCAGAAAGGGCTGCAGCTAGAAATGGAGTTGGAAGAAGCCTTGGCTGCAGAGTTGAAGTGTCCTTCCTCAGCTGATTTCTTTAGTAGTCTTGCATGGTGGTTTGGAGCTCTCCTTAACCCCCCTGGGGTACAGTCTTTTTTTTTTTTTTTTTTTTTTTTTTGGTATTTATCCAGTGGGAGGTTTCTTTTCTGGTCCTATCCAGAAGAATACAGATGTGGCAAAATTCTCATCCAGGAGAAGAATGCATGTGAAATGAGTTGCTTTAGCATTGTTTTGGCTGCTGATGTTACTTTAAAATTATACCTGGTGATTGCGAATTACATCACCTCTAATCACTTCATGATCCAGCTCACCACTACAACTCAGGCCAGGAAGTTCAGGTATCTACTGCCCATATCAGATTGGTTGGTTGTTGTAACATAAAAATGACAATTTTTAAAAAAGTAATTAACTAATATTCCTTCAAAATTGGGCCCATGCATGAATTAAATCATCAGGCACAATTTCTCTCTCAACTTAGCTTTCAGACAACATGGTTTAGCCATTTCCTATATACTTATGTGATCTTGGACAAGCTACTCAACCTTTCTGAACCACAGGCTGTTTATCTGTAGTATGCAGAATTCAGGGTGGTTATCAAGATTAGTATTTAAGTAGCCTAATACCATTCTATGTAAATATATTTGCTGTGGGCTTCAAAACTTATATATAGAAAAAGTTTGTACGCAGCAATACTACAGAGGCAAATTTGCATTAGAATCTTTAATCACAAAGCAAAGATATGGCTCTCACTTGGACTTTTCCTTGAGGACTAGTGAAAGCTCCAGAAAGGGTAGATGACCTGAAAGACAATGCCCTGCTTCAGGTCACCAGCAAAGGTGATGCTCATGACGCAACCTCTTAATTTATGGCTATGATTACAAGAATTCCTCATTTAACCACCAATTTAGGAGTTGAATTTCTGCCCAGTCCGTTGCTAAATGAGGAGTGCATATATAGCATGTACATTATGATATTCAGAAGAAAGAAATGGCCAAAGAAAACTTCAACTTGATGACTTTACTTATTTGCATAACTCTTACATGCAGTACTGTAATGTGTAACAAAATAAAGGTACAGTACAGTAGTGTATGGTACAATCAGCAAAAATCACAGTAGTGGGACAAGTATATAGCATAGTGGACCTGGCAAGTGCAAGCTCCTGAGTTTTATTCCCACTACAAAAAAAATCACAGTAGTGTATAAACAAAGTGTACTACACAGAAAAAAGACATTGAGGCTCTATAAACAAGATGTACACAAAAAAAGGCAGGTTGTGAGGAAGAAGTGGGTGGTAAAATCTTGTTGAATAGCATAGCCACAGTGTTAAGTCTGAATAATTATTAATCAGGTAGGTCATTAAAGGAAGAATGTCTATATTGTCTTCAATATAATTGACTATATTTTATTATATAACAATATATTATTATATAACTTATTATTATCTGAGATAAACCCGCTTTGTGTTTTGCTACCTTATGTATAATACTGCTCTAGTATTTGAAAATTGTTCTTGCGCTCCCACAAATTCTACAGTCTCTGCGTAACTTAAATCTATATTTTCATTAGTGATTCAAAATAATTTAACAGGATAATTAAGCTCCTATTCCCCCCTTCCCCATCATGGGCACTTTAATAAATTGTATAAAAGCAGCCTGAGATAGAAATATGGAATTTAGAGCATCTATTCCAAATGCATGAAAAAAGAACAAAAGAAAACCAAAAGTATTTCTTGGACAGTCCTATGCAGTCTCTGCCCAGAGATCTTCAAACTAAGAATTTGGGGGCTAGAGAGAGGAGAAAGAGATGTGGGTAATTTCTTTTTAACTGAAAAAAATCCATTTTACAGTCAGCTCAGTAATATGCAAAAACATCATTACATGTCTGACAAGTAAAAACCGAGTGTCTCTGTCTCATATATCCACATATCACAGGTTAATTTACTGGAAGTGGAGTTACAAAAGTAACAATGTATATGATAGGAACCCAGATTACTTTTTTCGGTCGTAGAACAGAAAAGGTCACGCATTTCTCCAACAGTTTTATCTGGTATGGGAGTTACAACAGTGGAAATGGCTAAATTAAATGCCAACATATATTCAGTAAATTGGTGATTTGTGAAAACAAACCAAAAAAAAAAAAAAAAAAAGGGAGATTCGTGGATCTAAAATGACCTTCTCAGTTAAGATATTCAATATTTTTTTCCCTCGTCATTCTCAGGAAACGAGTAAAGTCATGGCTGTTGTACTATTCTGTTCTTAGAAAGTGTGCCCTCAGGACAGTTTGAGATAAATATCTGCTTTAATTCCAAGGGAATCCCAAGGCAAAAACATAACTATCAATCTCTTTTCTGTCACCAAATGCAATACAACACCGTACAGTAAATGCTGCACATCGGAAGGAACCTTGGATCCTAAACATTTCTTCTTTTTTTTTTGCTGGAGACGAAAGTAGTACAACATAAACTGTGAGCAATACTTCAAAATGAGAAAACGTAAACTGACATCTTTAAGCGTGTATCCTACAGATGGAAACTACGTCTCCCAGCATGCAACGCGACCATGCGGCCGGAGCGATGCATGACGGGAAGTAGAGTTTTATCGTTTGAAAAATTTAAGAGCTTCCTCTTTCTTCTATCGAGCCTTGGTCCTGAGTCTTTCAGCACTAAGCCTAGGAAATTGAGAGACTTATACCTGCTGTTCGTCTTTATTCCTAAGGGTTTCTTTTCCTTGTAAAGCAATTTCTGTACAACTTCCGTTTCCAGTTGACTCGTTGCCTTGGAAACGAAGAGACACAACAATTTCGGTAGTTATGGCGGGCCTGAGCTGTGGGCAGGTCCCTGACGGGGAGTTCACCGCGGTGGTGTACCGACTCATCCGCGACGCTCGCTACTCGGAAGCTGTGCAGCTGCTGGCCGCTGAGCTGCAGCGCAGCCCAAAGAGCCGCGCGGGTCTGTCGCTACTGGGCTATTGCTACTACCGCCTGCAGGAGTTCATGCTAGCCGCAGAGTGCTATGAGCAGCTGAGTCAGCTGCACCCAGAGCTCGAGCAGTACCGCCTGTACCAGGCCCAGGCCCTGTACAAGGCCTGCCTTTATCCAGAGGCCACTCGGGTCGCCTTCCTTCTCCTGGATAACCCGGCCTACCACAGCCAGGTCCTCCGCCTGCAGGCTGCTATCAAGTACAGCGAGGGTGATCTGCCAGGGGCCAGGGGCCTCATAGAGCAGCTGCTGAGTGGGGAAGCAGGAGAAGAGAGTGCAGGAGTGAACGACCACGATGGCCAGGTCAACCTGGGTTGTTTGCTCTACAAAGAGGGACACTATGAAGCTGCGTGTTCCAAGTTCTTTGCAGCCCTGCAGGCCTCAGGCTACCAGCCAGACCTTTCCTACAATCTGGCACTGGCCCATTACAGCAACAGGCACTATGGCCCAGCTCAGAAGCATATCTCTGACATAATTGAGCGGGGCATCCGCCAGCACCCTGAGCTCGGTGTGGGCATGACCACTGAGGGCATAGATGCTCGCAGTGTCGGCAACACCTCAGTCCTGCACGAGACCGCTCTTGTTGAAGCCTTCAACCTCAAAGCAGCCATAGAATACCAGCTGAAAAATTATGAGGCCGCTCAGGAAGCCCTCACTGACATGCCTCCTAGGGCAGAGGAAGAGTTGGACCCTGTGACCCTGCACAACCAGGCCCTCATGAACATGGATACCAGGCCCACAGAAGGATTTGAGAAGCTACAGTTTTTGCTCCAACAGAACCCCTTTCCCCCAGAGACTTTTGGCAATCTCCTGCTGCTTTACTGCAAGTATGAGTATTTTGACCTGGCAGCAGATGTTCTGGCAGAAAATGCCCATTTGACTTACAAATTCCTCACACCCTATCTCTATGACTTCTTGGATGCCATGATCACTTGTCAGACAGCTCCAGAAGAAGCCTTTGTTAAGCTGGATGGGCTGGCTGGGATGCTGACTGAGCAGCTCCGGAAACTCACCAAACAGGTACAGGAAGCAAGACGCAATAGAGCTGATGATACTGTCATAAAGGCATTGAATGAGTATGACGAAACTCTTGAGAAATACATTCCCGTGTTGATGGTCCAAGCAAAAATCTACTGGAACCTTGAAAATTATCCAATGGTGGAAAAGATCTTCCGCAAGTCTGTGGAATTCTGCAATGACCATGATGTGTGGAGGCTGAATGTAGCTCATGTTCTGTTCATGCAGGAAAACAAATACAGAGAGGCCATCGGTTTCTATGAACCCATAGTCAAGAAGCATTACGATAACATCCTGAATGTCAGCGCTATTGTGTTGGCTAACCTCTGTGTCTCCTACATCATGACCAGTCAGAATGAGGAAGCTGAGGAGCTGATGAGGAAGATTGAAAAGGAGGAAGAGCAGCTGTCCTACGTTGACCCAGAAAAGAAAATCTATCATCTCTGCATTGTGAACTTGGTGATAGGGACGCTCTATTGTGCCAAAGGAAATTATGACTTTGGCATTTCTCGAGTCATCAAGAGCTTGGAACCTTACCATAAAAAGCTGGGAACTGATACCTGGTATTATGCCAAGAGATGCTTTCTGTCCTTATTGGAAAACATGTCAAAGCACATGATAGTGCTTCGTGATAGTGTTATTCAGGAATGTGTGCAGTTTCTAGAACACTGTGAACTTCATGGCAGAGATATACCTGCTGTTATAGAGCAACCTCTTGAGGAAGAAAGAATGCACATTGGAAAGAACACAGTCACATATGAGTCCAGGCAGTTGAAAGCTTTGATTTATGAGATTATAGGATGGAATTCGTAGATATAGCTGGTTTTGCTTTTTATCATAATGTAAACTTTGTAAATTTATGTAAATTTTGCAGTTTTATCTGTTTAGCCTTTGGCATGTTTATAATTGTTACATGTAAAATTTGTACATTTTAGCATTATAACAAAAATGTTAGATAAAACTTGTTTTTGGAATATGAAAAATATTAAATAGCCTTGTGCCAAGAAAGAGTTGTAAAAATTCCATAAGTAATGACAGGTGTGTCTATTAGTATTTATGGTATCTATTAATTCTTTTTAAATTTTGTTTTGATGTATATTAAGGGGCCCTACACATGTATTCCTTTAGGAACCAGACACCAACTCCAGAACTCAAAAATAGTTAATCTATAGAACATGAAAGTTTTTAATAGTCATTTCTGGGAGAATTTGCTTTAGTTTCATAATTTATCCTCATAATTGTCTTAATGTATAATGCATAGTTTTATATAGTATTTAAGATGTTTTGATATTTAAGATATTTCTAATGCTTTAACAAAAATTCCCCAGGTTATAAATGACTTTAATGTGCAAGATTCAGTTGATGATGATGTTCACTTAAAATATGGTGCTGTGGTATAGAAGCAATAAATAATTATCAAAGAAACAAATTTCCATGATTGTTTCTGTTAATAATGTGAATAAATGAACAAGATACACTGTTACTGCTTTTTTTTTTTTTTTTTTTTTTGGCAGTATTAGGGATCGAACTCATAACCTCACACTTGCCATGCAGGTGCTTATGCTGCTGAGCTAAATCCCCAGCCCTGTTACTGCTTTTTATAACAACTTTGTTTTCATTTCTCTCCCATAATGACTAAAAGCGGAGGTACCATCTTAATGATTGCCTTTGTGTTTTCAATTTAGGATATGCTGTGGTTGTTTCCATATTACAGTATCTTGAGTAAGGAAAAGTCTTTCCCCTTAACCCCATGACCCCACCAGATTCCTTTCCATGTCCATCTCTGATGAAAAGATCAACTCTGAAAACTATTAGAAGCATGTTAGTTTGAATTCACAGCTCCTAAAATATGTTTATAGGGTCCTACTGGGAACCTCACACAATCTGATCAGGTATTTTATTTTTAAAAATCCTATAAGAGTTTTAATTTTTTCTTTACCCTTCACTACTTTTTCTCCATAGCCAGATCTCCAACTCAAGTTGGCTTAGAAAAAAATGAAACTATTAGGTTGAATAGTGAAATTGCCATTTTTTTTTTCTTTTTCGTTTTTATCGGTACCAGGGAAAATTGCCAACTTTTAAGTAACAAAATTAATGATTTCTTACAGTCACTCTAACTGCTTTCTACTGAAACCTTTGGCATAATGAGATAATGACTTCTTTTTTCCTTTAAGGAAAAACTAGTCATAGCGGAACTTGTATGTAGGTTCAGCATAACTCCCCAGTAGCATGAAGGCCTAAGTGCTACTAGTTCTATTAGATCAGAAAAGTTAATGTACTGTGGAGTCAAATAATTCTGAATTTATGACGTTTTTAATCTTAACTATCTGAGCCGCTATCACTTACCAGTGACACTTGACCTCATATTTGCAGAACAATCGATGTTTAACAATCTCTTCAGGGGATCCCAAGGCACATTTTACATCTGGGAATTATTCTTTAACAACTTCTGTATTAAAAGTATCACTGCAGTAGCTCTGGGACCCTCTCAATCTCTGTAACCCCTTAAGATTTGGAAAGTAAATGAACTAAAATGTTACTTTCAACAGCCACATTAAAATTCTGGTTTTTTTTTTTTTTTCGTATTTCCTCTAAAGCAAACTATTTTTAAAAAGATATAAAGTAAGTAATGTGAACCACTCAAAAATAAATGTTTTCCAGATTCCTTTGCAAAAAGCTCAGCCCTCATTCTGCCACAATTTATTTACCCAGGTGCTGTGTGTTTATGGTTTGCATATATGTGTAATTTAGCTTTCAGAACATAAAACACTTTTCAGAATAGTTTTTAACTCCTTGGTACTGGGAGTTGGGAACGCCTGCCTACCAATGCATTAGGAAATCTTGACTGCTCCTACTGCCAAGCAAGGGAATAAACGTGAGTTTGGGTATTTGTCCCCTTCTTTACCCTGGCTCTCCAGGGAAGAAGCCATTCATGCAGATGACAGACACTGGCAGCAAAGTCTCCTGACAGAGCTGGGGAAAAGTGGCACATTCCTAACTCCTGTGCACTTACTGCCCTTTATTTTTAGGATAACAGCCTTACAACTCACTTTCCAAATACCCTGTTCTGCTTCTTGTTTTTGTTCTTGGTGCTTTGTTATTTTTTTATTTTTTGAGGTAGTCTTTATTATGTAACTCAGGCGGGCCTTTTACTTACAGTGACCCTCTGCCTCAGCCTCCCCGGTGCTGGGATTACAGGTGTGCACCACCATGCCTGGCACTTGTTGTTTCGTGATTCTACATGACAAAGCACTTCACAGTCCATATTTTGATCAGAAGTTTTCATCCTTAAGGCCTTGATAAAAAGCTTTGTTTAGTGTTCCTAAAGCCTGTTAGAACTAGAAGCATTTTTAACAAAAAAAAATCCGTGTATTTCTACAGCTTTTATTTCTTCATAATACCTGCAGAGTCTATTTAAAAAAGATCAGAAGTCAGTATTTGTCTTAACTCCTGGGTCTCCATATACACAGAATTTGGGCATGTCTTTGTAGATAAGCAGTTGCATCCATTTTCCCTGACACAAACAAGAACTTACCTTTCTGTGAAAAATCAAGTCTATATTCCATTGATCATTGCATGCCAAAGGATTTCTATTCTCATGACAGTTCCTCTTTGAATGTGGTCTCAGCTATGGCATGGATGTTCAGACTAATACCATCCATGAAGGTCAAGTGTACAGTGTGAGTGACTCTTAGTCACAGGAAGTAGCCCACTGGGAAATGGGAGAGCTGTGTAGCGATGCTTCTGGGTCATCTGTAAGACAGCTGTACTACAGCTGACACACTTTCTCAGTACATGTACCAGATGTACAGGAGCACTTTGGAATCCATACAGCAGTCATGATAGGCTTGGCCAGATACAAGGAGGATTTGTTTACAGAGGGCTATAGGTTAGAGGCCCAAATTCAGAAACTTACTAGGAAATGGGAGATGTGACTTGGAGGGGCAGTGTTTGGTAGAAATATAGAACCAGAATTACAGGGACTAAGTTAGAAGGGATCTTAAAGTTTCCCTTTACAAAGAAACGAGGCCCAAATAAGAAAAGTGAATAGCTGGGAGAGAAATCAACAGCACATACTAAGTGCCCAATGACTCTTTCCACTGCATTTAGACTTTAGAACCCCATATCCTCTTACGGAGAAGTATGCTGTTACTTGAGCAGATTCCAACTCTATGTTAGCATAACTAAGTACAACGGATATAGTGGAACTATGCAAGGATGTGTTTCAGTTTACCCATCAACCAGTAGTAAGAGGCTCAACCAACAGATCACATCATAAAAAACAGAAGATGGGTTTATGAATCTTTTGAAAATAAATATGTGCCAGAGGCCAAACACAAACACAAGGAAACATGATTAGCTGGAGGACCTGATTTATTGTTCTGATAAAAAGTAGCATAGCAAATTGGGGCAGCAAGTTTTGTTCAGATTTAAGTCTGGCAGCTGACAATGTTAAGTGAACATAATTGCATATTTAATGTTTATCTGGAATAGATGTTCATTATTAAAGAGCCTATTTGTGGACAAAATGTAAAAACACAAGGTAGACAATGGTACCCCAAATGGAACCTCAACGCTTTCTCATGGATGAAAAATGGGGCCAGCCCTCATGTACCGCAGTTGTCTGCCATTACTTTGATGAGAATCCAGATATATTTGTCTCAATATAATAATGACACAGTAAGACAAAGTATTATGGTAAGAGTCAAATTATAAAATTTTAAATATAAGACAAAGTATTATGGTAAGAGTCAAATTATAAAATTTTAAAAATCTGAAACTAAATCTAGCAAGAGACACAGTGTAGCACCAAGGACTTAAAAAAAATCCTTCTCCAGGGAGATGTGGACAAGTATCACATACAGAAAAGATAATTTTAATGTCAGTGTGAGCTGACAGTTCAATATCTACTGAAAATAGCATTTATTAGTGATTATGTTAGGGGAAGCATTTGCATTACTCTGTGATTTGTATTTTAAAAACATCAGATGAAGACGTGGCAAGGAGCAACATGGTGAAGAGTCTAATTTTAAATGACTTACGCAGAGGACTGAAGAAAATCTGAGGGAACATAAAAACAGTCTTTAAACACCTAAGCATTGCCAAAAAAGTGGACAATTATTTACAACTATAGAAGGCAGAAGTTGGATTGATGGACAGTAGTAAAAAGACGACGGATTTTAAGTGTATTAAGAAGAAAAAAAATCTCTTCCTACTTGAAGAGTTCGGAATTTGAAAATGGCTGCCTGGAAAAGCAGTGAATTCCCATTTGTTTACAGTAACTGTTCAGAAGAGTAGCTATTGGTGGCCTAGAGAATGGGGAAGGTTACCCAGCAGTTGTGTAAATGGTAGGCAGAAGAGGGGGTGATTTGTAAGGGTCATTCAGTCTATGCCCACGTGCACCAGATGGAAAAAAAATTTTTTTTCACTAAGTATCAGGGAAAGGAAAATCTTAGTGTGGCAATCGTTACTGAAATGCATCGTGTAAGGCAGAGTTCAACAAGTCTCATCAGTCATTTCAGAGACCAGACAACTACCACCTTCTCTCCAATGTGGGAAACATGGCAGGAACAAAATCAGTATCTGTGCGTGTACTAATGAGGATACTTATGAGAACAGTGTTTGTTTGTTTGTTTGGGAATACAGCATGATGCTATCAGTAAAAGTTACAGGAAATCAGTATGAAATAAACATTACCGTAAACAAGGAGCAGTTTGGTATTGTTTATTAGTTCCCAGCACATCTTTAAAAAAATTACACATGGGCATTTGCTTATAGAATGGTACAGTCTAAGAAAACCAATAAAGGAGAATTCAAACATATTCTCAAAGCACAGGATATAGACTATGAGTTTGAGCCCTTTTGGAAAGCAGTATGGCTCAGTTTGGACTGACAAAGCTATGCTAAAATCTCTCAGGAATTTTCCTTCCCCCTACATATCCACTTTTAGACTATAAACATATATAGAATTGTTTGTATGCATTAGTTACAGCAGTATAATGGCTTACATACAAGTGCTCACCCACATGTATTTCCCAAAAGATTACTACAGTACTAGCAGTAATACACACTGCCTTGAAGGAAGACTCAAGAGAAGATATTATTCAAGTCAAGTTGTATCAGAGCCAAAATATTTCACAGGCTTAGCAAAAACAAAAGACAGATTGATGATGTAACTTACATGTATTTCTCATAAGATTTATCACTGCCCAGGAACAGAAATGTGTTATTCTGAAGGCACCATCACACAAAAGGACTGACCACAACGTAAGGAACAGAAACCCTCCTTCCAGGCGCTGCTCCTAGCGAGCTGTGTGGGCAAACATCCAAAAGCATGCAGGGAACATCTCAAGGCTCAGTGAGGATGCCGCACCTGCCAAGCCACATCGTAGGGCCCCGATGTCAGACAGTAGGGGTGAAAACGTAGGAATGAAAGTGGATACAAATCCCACTGACTGATGAGATGTATGTGAGTACAGGTCCACCATGCACTCAACTACGTAATCCAAATCAACACTGTGGAAAAGATTCTCAGCATTTCTACACACAACTGCTTAATTCCTGACATGTTCCTGAAGAGGAAGAGCCTTGAATTGCAAAACAACCTATCTTTAAAGACCTACCCTCTACTACTCATTTCAAATGGCGATTTGATGGGGGCAGGAGGAACTCAGCAAGGCACTGTGAGCTTGAGGGGATACTGTTTACGTAGGTCAATAAGTAACTACTTATATAAAGACTGACCAGTACAAGCATTTCATGTCCTTTTAGATATTTAACTTAAGAATTAAGGTATGTTCAAATGGTCCCTGTGGTGCTCATGAAAAACCCTACTAACAAATGTCTTAAAAACATTATATATGTTACTTAGAAATACTAAAATTTTTTTTCTTTCTCTCAGAATGGGAATTCAGAGCATCTGAAAAATGTACTTAGCAATACATAATGTATTATTTTATCTTGTGAAAAATATGCAAAGTAATTTCCTTTGGGAACCAAAAGAGAAATCTTTTCAGAATCACAGAACTGAAGTTACTGAGTTCTGTCAGTTCTTTGGCTTGAATGTGGTATATATCCACAGTCCTTCCCTCTTTTGTCAAGGAATTAACTGCTGTGGTTAGAAAAGAATGAGGCTCTTTATTCTTTGAGGAACATCCAAGGTTTAAAAGGGATATGCTTCGGACCACAGAAGACTAAGCACTGAGGAATTTAACATTGGTATAAAATATACAACCTGGGTAGGTAATGATATACTCAGCTACAGATCCAAAGAATTTGATCACAGATTGTACTTGATATACTGTACCAATAAAACTATATGAAACCAATTTTGTTTTTCAAATGAGTGGACTATAAAGATGCAAAACTAAGGTTCAAAGAAGAGCTAATATGCAAACAGAAGAAAAAACAGCTTCACACTCCCTTTGAAGAAGAAAATCTTTTAGATCCAGGTCCATTTTATTAATAATGTTTCTATAATCTCTTTGACATTTATACAAGCAGGTTTTACAGTTAAATTTCACACTGAAGACAACACTATTTGGCTTAGGGAACAGAAAGCTGAGTAACTTACATCCTTCGTATCAGACACTATTTTAGCAGCTTTAAGTAAAGCTTACACAGTCTAGATTTTAGTACCAATGTCCTTCTTCCCCTCTGCAGGAAACGAAATTAATAAGAATTAAGTGAACATGCTGACATATGGCTCATTTGGGAACATAAAGCCTTGAGTGAAAAACCAAGCTTTATAACTACTAAGGCCAACGTGGGAACACTCAAAATTCTGCATTTGTAACCTAGCACCTTGTAATACTTTCTGCTTTCCTCCTACCATGAGCTAATAATCCCTGATTAAAATCAAAGTTGCTAAAGAGTAAGTGGTAAACAATAAGCTACTCAAGCTATAATAATCTGTCTCAAAGTTCGTTAAAATGTAGATATGCTTTCCACAGATATGCCTCTCTTTGGCAGTCTCAAGTGCTACTACATGCAACTTGTGAATCAATCCAGAGTAAACAACTATGTTCTAATATTGGTATCAAATAGAAGTTTGACCAAATCCAGCCCCATCTGAAGACTTGAGGGAGTACACTTCAATTTAGGACTTCACGAGGTCTCTGATCAGCCACAGTTAATAAGCTATAGCCAGGACAGTTTGACAAGAGAGAATCTCTGGGGCCAACATGCAAAAGGTATTTTCAAAAATGCAATTTAAGACTTACTTGCTAATGCAATTTTCTGAAAGAAAGGTTTCCTTGCAACCATCTGTACTCGGCATAATACACACTCTTGATGGCAGCTCATCCTTTATTGCACTTTTATTTTCCAAAATATACCTCAAGAGAGCTATGTACACTAGATGGCTTCTAGCTTAATAAATAACTTTAGAGTACTGGTGCTATAATATGCAAGAACTCTAGAAAGAAAACTTCCTATTTTTCAGAAGAGGAAAGAATTTAATTCTCTGGTAAAATACTGGGTACAATAAACATGTGGCTTCCACAATTCTTGTGAAACAAAAAAAGCTCAGTTACACGCATAAGATTAAATACTTATGCACTACTATAAACTGTACCAAACATTAAGGCAGCCGTTTCTCTAAGGATCAATGAAGCCTGTTCACATACGTTAGTCCTCAATGCTGTCTCCAGCAGCTGCAAGTTCCCATTCCCACTCAAGTCCCAGCCCAAAGGACATCACTGAATTTAAGTAAAACATTACAAATATGACAACTCAAGAAAGAGAAGTCAGTGTTACACAGTCCTGAAAACTAGGCTATAGACTTAAAATCCTAAATAAATAAACTCATTAACAGTGAGTTAAGAAGCCTCATATAAACAATGGTCTCCTATCTTTGACTCTTGTGAAGCCATTTTCAGATACTTCAGGAATGAGAGCTATGGTTTAAGTGCTTTTGTGCATATTCATGAGCTAAGTCCTCTACAGACACTAAGTCTGTATCCAGGTACCTCCAGAAGTGGGTGGGTGAGAGTGGGGGAAAGCTTTCCTTTACTAAATTAGAGTAACACAGTACTGATGAACTTTCTTAAGTTTAAAAATGATCCCTGTAGAGATGATTCCAACTACAAAATGTAGTCACCATTATAAAACCAAGGTGAATCTTGCATACATAGAAAGTAACAACAGCAACAACAAGAACATACACACACACACACACACACAATCACTAGTTTCCATAAGGTTTATGTAAAACAGTGAGCACAATATTTTCAAGTGTTAAATTTATAAATTTGTAATATCAAGTACAGATTTCTGAGGTTGTTGTAATCTAAACTCCCTGGGAGAGAAAGTTATAACAATCACATGCAAAGGAATGAATCTGCTTGTGAAGAATGTTTTATTAAAAAATTATCCAGAAACATGTATACACTTCCAGTGAGATATTAGTACCTTACTAAATTTTACATTTTGATCACCAATTAGAGAAATCATCTTCATGAATAGATGTGGTTTTTAAAGCTGATAATCTTGTAATTCTAGAGCCAATCTCCTCATCAAAGTGTCCAACTATTTCAAATCCTCAAGGGCTTTAAGAAAAGATCTGCTGGAAATTTTATAATTAAAAATAAATCACCAATGAAGAGAGGCAGTTTCCAAAAAATAAATATTTAGTTTTTGTTGTTAAACTAGTACTTAATTTTGATTTGCTTATGATTTAAGTTTGTTAGTTTGAGGCCAATTTTAATAGTCAAAATTATTATTTTGATGTCTTAAAAATACCTTTTGTCATTTTTAAATTTTCGCTTTTCTGGTTAAGGCTACTTCAGATATAAAAGGTATCAAACTGCCCAAAAATACTTTGGAGCTGATGCTAGTCAGACAATGTGTCCTTTTAAAGAATCATCTGCATTTTGACTTATATTATCTGATTAAATATTAATTTTAAAAAATTATCAAAAGTTAGGTATTAAGAAAAGAATCCATTTCAAAATGTGAATCATGAACCTTGTCAAGACAGTAATTTAAACTAATCATTTCACTCATTTTAATAGCCAGGTTTAAATGTAAAAATGTTTTCTAAATGTGATTAATGCTCCTTATTATTTAAGAAATAAGGTAATTCAAATTTCTGATTATGGCATATGCATTAACACATTTCTTTTAAAATCAAGGTTAAACCAGTAATTCAAAAAGATATTAAACCATTAGGAACTAAATTCAAACTTTACTTTTATATGAAAATTTATCATGCTGTTGGGTTAATTAAAAAAAAGTCACTGAAACTGTTGAGGCTTTGAAATTCAATAGCTGAACAATTACTGCTTTTTAGCCACACAGTTCTTTTCAGCTGGAGACACTAGGGTTAGGAGTCTTCCTTCTGATCTGCTGCAGCTTTTTCTGTAGCTCAGTCACAAGCGTGCAACAGCAGAAACATCAGGACTCTGGGCTGGGTAAAGACATTCGTTTTATGGTAAACCTATCTTTCACATACAATGAGTGGTATCAGCTTTTCTTACAAAACATATTATGAATGATTTAGGATGTAACAATAGATTACTTCAGCGATACAAATACAACTCATACCTCAGTAGAAACAGAAACATGGAGAACAAAAATGTGTCCCCTCACAAAATAATTATATATGGGTGATTTAAGGTTTTACAACTATATACTAATTTCAAAGAAACTGCAGGCCAAGCACCTTACAAACTAAAGGCACCCTAGTAACAGGCTGCCTGTATTCTTTCATGAATACACTTCTGTAATGGCCTACTCACAGTAGAGTATCTCTTAAAAAACATACATGTATCATCCTCAGTGGACTCTTTCTCTAGATACCTGCTTCCCAGAAATGGTCTTTTTAGAAGAGGCTAGTTAAGCAGTAGATGATACCAAAATCTGCCTGTTTCCAAAGAGGAAGCGTCCATACAAAACAGCTGACAGCATCTTTCTCTGAAGTAACAAGCAGACTTGTGCTACCTAAGATTTGAAATGACAACCATTGGCTGTAAACTGATAAACCTACAATGAGAGATGTAGGAATACCATTTGTTGATCCATAGATGAGAAAACAAACCACATAATGAAAACAAACTTACTTTAAACCAACAAACAGAAGGGTTAAAATATAGTCTATGATATATTTGATTACTGGTATAACCATTGTTGAAGTCTTAAAAAGAAAAAAGTGACATTTTTCATAATGATAGTAATGGATTATAAAAGGTTTCGGTTTCCAAAGATGTTAGTGGGGTCCACATAATCCTTGACGGACTTCAGCATCCCAAAGCCGACATCAGAGATGCTTTCTTTTAGCCATTGCTTCCGTAACTTGCCCACTGGAAAAACAAAATAAAAAATGCTTCAATATACACTATGATGCTGGGAACCAATCAATCTTGTGACCATGAGTGAACAAACACTGCGTGATAAATGCTTTTATTCAAAAATGAGAAATGTTTTGCTTTGTTTGATTTATTGAGCCCACCAGACTCTCAAGCTCATTAAGCCCAATGCACTCCCAGGGGAGTCTGAGCTGCACAGTGTCCCCTCCTCTGTAAACGACAAAATGGAGATTGAAGGAAGCCTAGACTGAGATTATGGTCCATTTTACAAACAAAACATGTATTTCAAAAGCAAAACACACCTATATCTCAGAGAAAATAAAGCTAACTTAAGAAAAGCCTTATTTTGAAGTGAATTTGTTGGCTATACTTACCAAAAAACTACAATGTGTAGATCCTAAAATATTTTAAGGAGGAAAAAAACTTGAAACAAAATTCTAACCTTTAATAGGCACACGGAAAAAACTCGGGTTACGACGCTTAAAGCTTTCTGGTTACAATTTTTTTCACAAGGCTTTTAAATACATTTGTATGTGAACATGTAACAATAGTTTCTTTACTTCTAATGTTTTCCCATATTCACAAATTTTGGGGCACTAAAAATTTCAGATAACTAATCATTTTTAAACTTCACATTCTACTTTTAAAAACTATGTAATATCTCTACCTCTTTGTCTCTAATTTGAGAATGAAGTAATAGGATGATTAGCATCATAATTATATTTTAAAAGGCACTCAATGAAAAATGTTTTGAATATACAACTTTCATAACAAAATGATGTGTAGAGGATTTCTGAACTGCCAGCTTGGCTTGGCACTGCAAAGCAAAGCAATATGCTGACTTATCTGAGGCAGACCGGATGTCTTTTAATTTACAATCAATTCTAAACTGTTTGTACTTCTCAAATGCATGCAGTATTGTAATAATTGAATTCTAACGGTCATTTTGCACAAATGTTCATTAATGACCTGAAGTCATCAACAATGATTTAACTGGCTAACTGAAATGGGAAACCATATTTCAGTAAAGTATTCAATCTGTCATTCTAAAATGCACTCCTATTTATCAGGCTGCAGTGATACATCACTGCATCTACTCGTCAAAAACCTTAAATACCACTGTAGCTCAACTCAAAACATCTTTTGTGTCCAGTTCTCCAGGAAATCATCAAATTGTCATCGAAATAATAAATGGCATGACACCCTCAGATATTTCTGCTTGGCTTTTAGAAATGCATATTTCTGATGTAAAGATGAAGGGAAATGAGGTTCAGGAAGAAAAAATTGAATTTAAAATGAAAAATTTTAAAGAAGCTCCAAAATCAGAAGCTAAACAATGTAAGTAAATTCTTACTCACAGAATCTGTACCACCCAAAAGATGTTCTACTAGGACCTTTTACCATCTCCTAAGAGACAATCCATGGCTATGCTTCAAAGTTTCATTATCTCCAAATGGATGAGAATCTATAGTCTCTTTGATTCTGATATTCTGAGTTTAAGCACTTTTTAAAAAATCTAAAAATCAGTTATTTCCAGATTTGTTCTGTAAACTTTAAAAAAAAAAAACTGCTCTAAGTGGCATAAGTGGCATTACCATGCTATATAAGCTACCCATACTGAGGCAGCTCAAAAGAGCAGTGAAGAACAGTCAATGCCAGTCTCCACTGTTATCTGTAATATAGTTTCACTGAATGTGTCCTGTGGTTAGAGACATAATTGTCCTGAAAAGACTGCAAACAACTGCTCCAACAAGATAGAGCACATTAGAAGCTCAGCAGGACGCCCAACAGCTAGCTTGTCTGCCTGGTTTTACACCTCTAGTAATAATGCAATTCCACAAGGAGCTGAACCATCATCTGAGAAGCCACCCAACAGCCACTGCATATTTAATGAAGTCACTCACCAAGCAGTGGAAAACAGAAGGTACTTGGAGTGCATCATTAGTTCTGTCAGAAGGATAATTTACACATCTATCTTGTCAAATTTTCTATGGTTTATACTTTTACAATAATAAATCTAACATACATTTGATTAGTGAGCTAGAAAGTTAAAAAAAAAAAAAACTGCAGCCAACATAGCTGTGGCCCCTCATAAACACATCTGATGAAAGAATTTAACCCTGTGGTGATAGAGGTTTGTGAGCTTCTTCTGCTATCGATAAAAAACTGAAACGGGGCTACAAGTCATGTCTTATACAATTGAAAGAACTAGGAATCTTTGGTTTTGCTTAATAAGCACACAAAAAGAAAACACAGTTTAAGTAAAAACACTCAATGTGTCTCAGTAACAAGGCAATTATTGGAAATAGTCTTAAGACTCTGGAAAACGTTCTGTCATTGCCTCAGATGCATTAATAGACTAAAACAACAAAACACAACAGGCCTAATTCCAGAGAAGGAAGACACTTCATAGTAGAAGGCTTATTCCAGAGCTAGACAGTAATAATAATGTCTTTGTACAACAACTTGCAGAGCTAGGGGTTCAGAAATTAGCTAAGTATACTGATCTATACACACACACCACCCATGTATACGCTTGTATGTTAATTGCTTAAACATCTGCACAGCTCATTTTCTGAAAGAGAGGCAATAAATGAACAAAGATTGTCAATAATGGTTGGCCTAAGACTACTGCAACACATAGTACCTAGTATGTGAGAGTAATATAGAGGCAGCTACACTTTCATAGCACATAAAACTCCTTATCCTTTCTGTCCTGCATCACATGATGTGGAATCTTGAGCTACTTACTGACCCAAGTACATTCCTCTGACTTCTGATTCTTAGCCTAAGAGGTAACACTTGAGACATAAAAAGACAAGAATTCCAGCTTTGAAAACAAAGACTCTGTATTCCACAATCCACTATTATTCTAAATAAATAATGCCCCATATATTGAAGCCAAATATTATAAAGTTTTAGATATATTTACAAGAAAGATACAAAAAGATGATCTAAATATTTAATAGTATGGAATACTAATGGTGGTGGGGCTCTCTATCTGCTTACATTAAGAATGGAGTTAACTTTTACATAGCATTGTTTCTAATGATACACACTAAGACTGGATAAACAGGTTTCATGTTCATTCCGCATAGCTCTGTTTTCCTCTTTGGATAGTAACATACCTAAGGAATAGTGTGTTTTGGGATCTGATCAACAGCATAAAACAATGAATAGATGCCTACAGAAGGGATGGGGACGTTGAGGTAGTGTCATAAGTGCAAAATTTGGACATGGTAACAGTCTTGCCACCAAACACTATCTGGAATTACTCTTCGTGATTTATGGGACTGAAGACCCTGCAAAAACTACCAGTTAGTTCCATCTTAAAAGGGATAAATCTGAGGCTTGCCACTCACTGAGGTCTTTTTTAAAGCTAGATATACATTAACTTTTCCAATCACAAATTGAATTATAAGGTGAAAGACTGACAGACTCCTAAAAACAACAAATTATGAATGAGGCCCCATAGATTTAGAAGTTTACTGAAACTAAAATGCAACAGAATTTAGCCAAAGCAAAACGCAACTAACCGCTATTGAAACACCCGTATTTTGAGGGCTGTGGGCACGTGGCTCAGTGGTATAGCACTTGCAGAGCAGGCACAGGCCCTGGGTGTGATCCTCAACAGCACCAAAACAAGTTTTTTAAAAACTGTATTTCCAAAGATCTAGTCTGAGCATCCTGGATGCCTATTGAGCATTAATCAATAGTTCAGGTTAAAAAAAAAACAAATGGACAATGTCTACTCTTCAAGTTACATGGTGAATCTATGATAGTGTGTCTTCAAGTAGCATTGGGTTTCATCCTGAAGAAGACTTAGCTGTCCATTTCCTAGTGTTACAAAGCTCACTTCTGGTTGGCTGGCTTGTTTTTGTAGAGGTATATTCTGAATATCAGCAAATAGATCTCTGAGGGATGATAATACTCAGTTGTAGGAGATGAGATCATGACTATAAAAGACTCCCTAAAAACTAAACTTAATGTTTTGTGAATACTAAGGGTCATACTTGACTTCTTTAAATCATCTGGGTTGCTTTCTACTAATGAGACGTCTAATATCATGAGAAGTTCAAGAATACTATGGACTTTCTAAAACAAAACCCAATATAAGATTTTCCTCTTATTGTCGATATTTAAAATGTCACTTTTTTTAAATGCTAAGATTTTCATATATGCAGTTTATACAATAACTAGAGCTTCTAGATTCTGCAGTAGAGCCTTAGGGATTAGGCATCTGAAAAAATGTTTGGATTTTTAAGATGTTAATAGATGACAAGAACTAGATTCAACCCACTTTCAAATTTAAATCAGAGCAGTAATCAATACCCATACAACAGAGACCGAAGCCAAGTGAGCAGGTTACATAAGAGGACAGAGATAAAAGTAGAAAATAAGAAAAGACACTCTAAGTTCCTTAATGATTTGGACATGTTTTCATTCCTTTGTGTAATCCTGTTAGAAGACACAGTACATACATGTCACACTATAATAATTCAATATATGCTAGCTAAAAAAAAAGCAAGAATCTAGAATTATCTCTAAGCTATTTTAGATATGGTAAATGGATTCAAGTATTAGGCAAAGCAATCTGGGTTTCCTTAATTTCTTTTTATGGTATTTGGCCTTGCATTCCTTATATTCCAACATTATTTCTTGGATATTCGTAATACCTTAAACAAGGAATGTATGCCATGGAGCCTAAACTTTACATTTCCTTCAGAACCTCTAGGATTCTAAACTCTTTTCAGTGGTCCTCAACTGGGATGATTTTAGGCCCCATAGAACATTTAGTAATGTTTAGAGATATTTCTGGTTGTCATTAACTAGGACAATGTAACCTGATATCTACTGGGTGGGAGCTACAGTGCACAGGAGAGACCCTCAACCCCCAACACAGAGGATTATCGGTCAAAAATGTAAACAGAACCAAGATCAAGAAATTCTGATGTCTACACTACAACTTACATACAAGGTTCATGAGTCGGATT